TGCAGAAAAAAAAGAAATAGAGACAGATTTAATATTTTTTTTTCCTTCTTTACCAGTGTGATTTTTTTTTTTTAATGGAACTGGTTTGAACTGCTGTCATTTGTCAGCACTTTTCTAGTTCTTTATTCCTAAGGTTAACCCAAGACTGAAATAATGGTAAGAGATTACAAGCAGCTGTCACAACGTTTGTATGACAATCAGTTGAAGTCTGTGTGTGTGAATAAAACTCATGGTTTGCTAGAAAGCCGCAATACATCACCACTTATTTTTAACCCCAATTCCCATCATGCTGCAGTCCATCTCATCCGGTGAGGCGTGGCGAGGCGCAGGGTCACCGTGTGCCGGGTTGGTAGCCATGGCTGGCTTCACCGTCCTCATGTTTCGGCAGGGGGAGAAATCCTCACGCGGGCCACTCCAAGAGACTTGCTCTTGTCACGCTCACTGCCATGAATAATCCCTTGCCAGCTTCAAATGATGAACAAAAGCAAACCAGGAACTTTACTGCCACAGGAAGGTGCACAATGGGATCTGCAAATCCCCCACTCCTGTGGATTTTTTTCCCACAAGACGAAGCATCATCTCCATCGTTTCTCTGCTGTCTGAATTCCATTACGATGTATTTGGTCATACACCTCAGGCCTACCTGTTTTCACAAAATGTCACTTAAACACGGGCAAGCCCTCAATCCCTTTGTGAATTCAGCTGAAAGCAGCCAACAAGGAGACTAAAAGAGCAGGCAGGGAAACACACTCCATAACTGCAGAGGTCTTGATAAAGGTCTCTGACCAGAGACAAGAAATCTCTCAAGGAAAACATTTTAGAGACAAAATCAGGAGTAACGCCCCCACAATTCCATCTGCCAGGAACAAACCAGAGAAACAAGCAGGACCTGAAAAGCCTGATTTTGACCATTTTTCCTTTTTACACAGGACCAGTCATGTGGTGTCCCTCACAAAAAAATAAGCCAGCATAATTGTGGGTGTGCAGATAGACAACTCCAGCTGCTGGAGCACACAACCATCCCCCCTCTGCCCCTGGGGCACAGAAAAGTTGGTACCGAACTAGGCAATGTGGCACCAGGTACTTCTTTTAGCAGGAGCAAACAGTAATGTCATTACGGGAGTGCAGCTGTCGCACGGTTTGTCACTCGGTTTTGTGGGTAATTAAGGCTGTGATGTTCAGGGTTAAGCTAATGCAACCTGATGCGAGCCCTTGGGTGTCCCCAGGCTGGCAGGACGGGGCGCACGAAGCAGGTGTTAAGTCGTGGCCATCCGTACAGCGGCACGTTGTCTCAGCGTCGGACAAACTGTAATGCAGAACTGCACATATTTAACCGAAACAGTGCGCTGTCAATCACTTGTATGCGTAGATAAAGAGAACCTTAATCAAGAACAGAACTGAACTTCCCACGTGGTCAGGGCGTCTGCAAGATAGGAGCTTACTAAATTCTCCAACAGAATATTCTCAGCGTTCTTGCCTGAAGTGTTGGGTTTAAGCAAGAGTTTTCTCGTGCACAGATTCGAGATGACAGACTGAACACTGATTTATGAACTTTCTGTTCACCATTACTGAGCCAGACACCCGCAAGAGCATCCCCTCCTGGGAGGAGGCCCCCGAATCTCATCTTACTGACCACTCAGATGGCAAAATTTCATTAAACTTCTCCTTCTTTATTTCTAGGTCATGTAGTTTACAAGGAGTTTTATTATGTTGGTGTAGAGTGACAAAGGTAAATTTAAATACATGGTTATAAACAGGCAGCAGTATTACAGAAAACAAGGTACACACTTTAATTGTCCTCTGTAATCATGCTTTCAAAGAAGGTGGAAAACCATTACATACAATTAGTCTACTGCATACACCCAGTGCAATCGCCAGCACATCTGCAAAATATAGTGAACAAGAGCAAGCTTGCAGATTTGTGCTACGCTTTAAGCTCCTCCCCAGCAACTTACAAAAATAATTTGCAGTTTTTCTGATCCTTGCGTTACACCTGTGCTTATCATCACTTCTCATGATCTTCCAACGGTGACACTTTTGAAGGCAAAAATAGGTTTCCTTAAAAGTAAGGCTAATGTTAAAACTATTACAAACTGGTACCACGTCTTGTAAAAAGCCAACAGGGAACGCCACACGAAGTGGCGAGAGCTCGACGGGACAAGCACAGTCAAAGCAGCGGCGGGTGAAGGAGCTGCGGTGGGGGAAGGAGGATGTGAGCTCGCAACGCGCCGGCTGCGCCCTGCGCACGCTCTTACCTCCCCCTGCGCCCAGCCGGCCTGCGCAGCGAGGGCACGCCGCCACCGTTCAACCCCTCCGCGGTCACCGGGTCGCCGGTCCGCACCCGCGCGGGCGTACGCAAAGCGCTGGGAGCTGCAAAGGAACCGCAGGAGCAGAGAGCTGCTTTGCTACGGCACCGAGAGCGTTCCGTACCACGGCGACCATCCTCCAGTAAACTGGTCATCAACTACAAAGTGCAACTGCAAGGAAAATTAAGTTAAAAAAATAGATTACACATCTGATACTTACAAAAAGCAAGCCTTCAGTTCAAATGACTGATTTTTTTTAAACCGTGAGTTTATTTACTGCCTAATCTTGAAATCCCTGACAAATAAGCAGCTCCACTAATCTAAATGTTTGCATAAATAGGGGTAGCGTGTCGCTTAACGTACTCCAGACTGAGTGAAGAAGTACTGCCTGCACAGAAAAGTCATCGGTGCAACACTAACACAGCAATGTTTTTAGCATGAAACAACCTCTCAAAAATATCAATACACGTCTTTTTCTTTCCAAAAACAAGGCCATGTTTGTTTCACATGAAGCTGCTCTTCTGTTACCAGTAGAGTTCTGATTTTTAAAGCATCGATACTTTTCCATAGCAAATGATTGTAATTTTACATTCAAGATACAGCACGCTTGTTTTCAGTGAATCTCTAGTTTAAGATAGTCTATATTTAAATAATCTATGTATCACATATAAAAATACACATCTCTACCGTAAATGAGGTCTTGTCTTTTTCTAAGTGTCCTGGCCTTTTGGCCAATTGCCCACGCTGTAGGTCTCTTGCTCATCTTAAGCTCCTAAACCAAGGGACACATTTACCAAGCAAATTCTGCCACAACCTACTCGGAGAAGCATTTCCTCAACCTATTTCCCTGGAGCACAACTGAAATGCAACTCAAAAAAATGCACCTATAACTTTTTAACTGATTGTTCAAAACCAGCATGCCTTAGCATGTAATTTAATTTTCTGATAGAGGATTTCTTGAGATTCCAGCCAGCACTGTAAATTTAACTTCCCCACTACATCTCCGAGCTCTGTGCATCTCCAGGAAAGTTTGCTTTGATTTCAAGTCCTTACATTAACAGATGACAGGGGGAAAGCTTCTGCTAATCTATTCATATTTCAAATGCAAACCCATCTGTTTATTTCCCTGTGCCGCAGCAGCACACATTGACTGAATGGCTGAATGTTCTAGCGCCGCACCGAGAGGCCCGCAGGTAACTTTCCCACTGCGCTCTATTCAGATGCACATTTCACAACAGCAGAGCTAAATGTGTCTCCTCAAGGGTAAGCCTGTCCTAAATGTTTAAGAGCACGCAAACCAAGGAATTTAAAGATATAAATCAAAGAGGAGTTATAAACCATTGCTCAGCTGAACTGCGTTGTTCAATTTATCTTAAATTCACTTAGCCCCAAAGGAAAGCCGTGACCTCCCAGTGCTGGCAAACAAGATGGCCGCTACAAGAACGAGTGCATGGACACCCATTGCTTCCAGCTGTTGTTTCAGCCTGGTCAGAAGTTTCACAGCTCTGTTAGCATGACAGTGTCCTCTAACTGTTAAACTACTAAATTAATACTTAAGATTATTCATATGCGTATAATGAGGGCTACCGTGGTGGTGTGAAGCCCTGCAAGGAGACCTCAGCAGCTTCCAGAATGGTTAGAGAACCTGGGTCTTTCTGTACCAAGCCAGGCATATATGCCTATACTTTTAAAATTTTAATCCTTTCTGTTCCAACAATTCTATCTATATTTTTTTTTAATTAAATAAGTTACATTATTGTCATGCACAACAGAAAATCATCGATTTCTTCACTAAAAACAAGGCAGAAATGCTCTCTTAGCTACCAGAATAAGAAGCACCTGAATACAGCCTTGGTGAAACAAACCAAGGTAAACCTCAGAGTCACTGGGGGCGGCGGGGGAGAAGCCACCTACCCAGCTGGGTGTGTAACTTCTGTGACTGTTTCCAAGAACTGTAAAACCTCAAGTCAGCTATCTGGGAGCGCTCACAGGAACAGCGGAGATCTCAAAATCTGGAATTTTCAAGAAGTAACTTTTGTTCCGGGGAGACAAGTAATAGGACATGGCATACAACGCTCGGGCTCGGTTTTGCAGTCTTTCTGTCTAACATCTGTCACTTGTGGTAAAGACATGCACCGATTTAGGCAGCAAGACCAAATATTGAATATACAGATAATTTTTCTTTCACGCTGCAAGACATTAATTTTAACGATAAAAATAGGCATGATGAAGAAATATTTGCCACTGTCTCAGAGCCAACATCTTAACGAGATATTTCAGAATAAACGTAGAGAATAAAGATTTATTTGTGTGAGCATTCGAACATGTTTAGGTGAAAAAAAGATTGTATCTGAATTTCACTACAAGCTTCACAAATATCTATTACTAAAATTGAACAATACCTAGGGTTCAGAATTTGCATTGGCACAATTTAAAACTGAAAATATGAAAGAGCTCATTCTTTAGGAAAAGCAATAATTTAAATTTAAAGCTTTGAGAGACAAGGTGTATTAAATTTAAAACGACCAGAAGTAGTACCATAATTAGAAAGTCACGCTCAGAATATAAATAAAAAGGAAGAAATACTGGCGAAACAGAATAAAATTGTGTCTTTGCTGAGGTACGAATAGAAGGTTCCATAGCACAGGATTAACTCTTTCAATGGCAAATCCTTCACGTACAAAAATCAAACCAAGATTCACTCATCACATAGTTCAAAATTTACATGTAATAAAGGCAAGGCAATACTCAGTTATGGCCTGTCAAATATTTACCCCACTAACATTATCTACAGAAGCACTTTACCATTTTGTACACAGTGATTCTTTATGCACGTTGAAAGGCTTTCAGTTAAAAAAAGACATTATATACATAGCTGTACACAATTCCAACAAACATACTCCATCTCCCAGTGGAATTCTTAAAGCAAGATACCTGAGGTTTCTCAATATCTTCGATTTCTCTATCACAAACCTAAATATACATCTCAGATTTTACAAAAAGACACCTCCCTGGAATATGTGCATTATCATTAAAAAAAATTATAGCTTTAAGGAGCTGAAAAAGACCGCCTCCATCCGAGAGACTTCATTTTCACTCTTGCACATTTAGGAATGTCCTTCCACCAAAGGACATCCCGGTGGCTGAGGGGCAGAAGAACATTAGGGTGCACGCCTTCAATGCAGACGTCGTGGGGTCTCTGTTGTCTTAGAAAAGTCAGGAACAGTACGTCAGTAGGATGCAGTACTTCCTCCAGCTAATGAATATCTGAAAAGGAAAAGAAACAGTTATCGTTGCGACCTTCAGAACAGCGTTCTACAACAAGCAGCAACTAAAAGGCATTCCATTTTATGCTACTGAAGCTGCAGCCTTTTTCCTTGCAGAAGGACACCCACCGCTGCTGTCACGCTTGAAAGAGAAGAGCCAGAGAGCTGAACAACATGTAAAATACAGCCTGTTAGAACATTGCTGCTTTTCTAATGAACAGCAACAACCCGTGCTCAAGTGTCTTACTGAGAAGTGTATGATGATGTAGGAATTCGGTATACTGGGGACAACATTTTGTGATTCCAACTGTCCTACTTGGCAAGTTTACATCATCACCTTTCCAAAATATTACTGGGGCAGGAAACGTGTATTTCTTGGTCCAAGCAGATTTTTAAACCATCCCAAGAAAGAAACACACATTTTAATCATATTAAGAATCACAGAACGCTTTGGGTTGGAAGGGACCTTTAGAGGTCATCTAGCCCAACCCCCCTGCAGTGAGCAGGGACATCTTCAACCAGACCAGGTTGCTCAGAGCCCCATCCAACCTGGCCTTGAATGTTTCCAGGGATGGGGCCTCCACTACCTCTCTGGGCCACCTGTGCCAATGTTTCACCACCCTCATTGTAGAAGATTTCTTCCTTATTAAGTTTTCAGTAAGTTTTATAAAACATCAGAGATCAAAACTAGAGGGGGAAGGTAAATGGATTCACTCAGGTTGCTGGGCAGATCCCCTGAGGGTCCCAACTAATTCATTCAGACAAACTTGGGAAATTCAGTTTTAACCAATGATAAGGGGAATGAAAATCTCATTAGAAACACGCTGTTGAAGAGCCATCGTCAGTAGTTAGCTATCAAATTGAGAGTATATTGCAAGGGGATACAACAAATGACTAAACAATGTAACGGAGTATACTTCTTGTAGTATTCAAACAGGAAAAAACTATCTTTTCAGAAGCTGACTGGCTCCAAAAATAGCTTTATCTATGAGGGATACCTACAAAGCTACAGGATGGTTCAAACTACGTTTTAGCGAAGAGTGCTAGTCGTGATCACATACTAGCTGAATATCATCCCTGGTATAAGAGAAAGTTCACCCAGATGTGGTCCATCAACACACACTCTCTATGAATATTTCTCTCCTCCACAGAAAATGAAGTGCCTGCCTCCACTGTTACAATAAGACATTATGACAGAAAAAAACACCAATAGTCAAAGGAAGCAGAACAGAAGGAAAACAAAATGCTAAATAGGTATATATTAAGGGGTCTGAAATCTGTCTCCTAGGACAAAAACGATGACTGCTGCTGTCATGACAGGAACAAGTGAGATCAGCTCCAGCATCCACAAAAAGAAGTGCCCACGGGAAAGCCTGTCTCCACATGGTCATTTTCTGCTTCAACTGCAGCATCAAAAGTCTTTGAGGTTCCCAGTTCCATGAAGCCCCTGTACCAGGCTGATAGAAACTTGACATTGAAATACTGGGCTGATGAAAGGCTGGGATCACCAGGGATTTTGGAACCCCTACAGGAAACAAACTGAGATGGAAGCTCCAGAAACTCTTTCAAGCCTGCCAGGATCAACTAAAAGGAGAATCAGGGCATCTGGCATCAAGAAGTGACCTTTTAGCACTAGAGATGCTGACTGGGCTTCATGCTTAACAGCCCAGAAACCAAGAAACATGGCTGTCTGCACATTTGTTGGCACCGATTTTTACTGAATGACAAAGTGTCAGCCTGCCAGTCCTCTCCTTTAACTTCAGAGGTGTGAATTCTTAAACTTTACCAAACTGTGGTTAGAGCTGGTATAAGGGAGACACCTGCTCAGGGTGATCTTTTTCAAGGCAGCAGTCCGTGATTAATTACCGTAATAAGTTTTTCATAGTATGAAATAATCCAGCCTGGATGGTGTAGATTCAAAATAGCCGTGGGCTCCTGGATTCAAGGCTGCATTTAAAGCCTCTTCAAGCAGTAATTCTGAAATTTATACCCCTGATCTTTTCTTGTGTAGCATTTAAAAAAACAGCAAATTGAGTGTTTGTTACGAATATATTTCTAACCTAGGCAGTTAGAAAATCTCTTATGAAATTTGGCCTTTTAAAGTAATACAGAAAGTTGGCTTTGGAGGTACCACCAAAAGGCCATACAGACTGTCTTTAATGAACGAACAAGGAACCACTTACTATGTGACTGAAAGAAACGCAAACTAACTGAACAGTCCATTTATCAAAGTGGGTAAAAGAAATTAAGGGTGACACAGGGCATCCTCTGCAACAAGCGTGAGGCACTAAGGAAGCATGAATGTCCCTTATAGGAACTGCAGAGGAAAAAGGCTGTCCAGTCTCCTTTGACACAAAATATGCACACCAACAGCATGAACGTAGATATGGGCTATCACCCAAATCTAGAAATTAGAACTGCTGATACGATTAGCTTTTTTTCTACTAAGTAAACACAATTGTGCAAACTGTAAGCACAAGTGCTTTTTTCTCTATTATAAACAGAAATTCTTTCAATTTAACAGTAGTCAAATATTTGTAGAATTAGATCTGCAATTTTCTGTAACCCTTAGTGAAACACTGTCATTACCTCTGAAGCCTCTGCACAAGGTGGGACACCATGTTATCTGCAATGCCTGGACAAGCCTCTTCAGCTAAATAAATAGCCTGCCTCAGTTCTTCTATGGAATCTGTGTTACCACCACACAATTCGCTCTTCTCTTTCAACTGAAGAAAAACAGGAAGACATATATAAGATATTAATAAACATTCCTATACACAATGCAATGCAAAAACTTGTTAGGAAGTGACCACCAGTGTTCACAATGTGGGGATTTGACTTTCAGTATACACCCTCGCATTCTGAAGACTTTTTTTCATCCTGAAGTTAGCCTTTGGAGTAGTTACCAGGATGTCATTTGCCTTCACGAGTCTTCAATCATTCACATATCCTTTTCAGCGTGCTCGCATTCAAAAATGATATCAAAGTATCCCAAGAAAGATGCACTATTTACCTGCAGCTGTTCAGTTTCAAGACGTGCTGTTTATACATAGAATCATAGAATGGTTTGGGTTGGAAGGTACCTGAAAGATCATCTGGTTCCAACCCCCCTGCCATGAGCAGGGACACCTTCCACTAGGCCAGGTTGATCAGAGCTCCATCCAAACTGGTCTTGGACACTTCCAGGGAGGGGGCATCCAGCTCTGGGCAGCCTGTTCCAGTGTTTCACCACCCTCATGGTGAAGAATCTAAATCTGCCCTCTTTTAGTTTAAAGCCATGACCCCTTGTCCTATCACTACACACCCTTAGCATACGTACTTGTACGCCTATAGCTTAACACATACACACTGCAGGTGCACTTGCGCAAGCACTGTTAGAAAAGGTTTTCACCGTCAACTCTATCCACAGCGTACCCTGAGTGCTCTCTCATCTCCCTCCAGCAGCAAAGGATCCCACAATTAGGCAGGAACTGAGGGTTCAGAGGGAAGGTCTCAGTGCTTTGCTTATGTAGCAGCTGGCATAACATGCTGAGTATGGCCGGTAAAATGCTTCTTTCTCGGAACTCACTCAAGAACGTCTCAGCAGGGTCTGGGCTTCCTTGGAAAAAAGTGTCATGTTACTCATAGTAAGGGTGAATGAAGGCACGGCCTTCTTTTGGGGACTGGACTTTGCACCAGCAGGTTGGATGTCTGCATTTACAAGTTTATCTCCACATTTATCACTACAGCTGCTGTCAAGAGATGCTCTGCAGCATCTTCTTAAGAACGACTGATCAAAGTAATTTCTCAGGAAAAAAAAAAATGTTGAAAAAAATACTCCATTTGGAAGCTGACTGTGCTTATTAGTGCTTTGGACCAACGAGTTTGAGTTGTTTACACAGAACTGAAGAACAGTGAAACATTTTTCTACATATTTCTCTACAAATTATTCAATTAATTTAAGAGTCACCTCTGAATGCTGGACCTATAGCCAGTCTTGCCTTTATGCTGTTAAGAAAGCTTAGCACGAAGAAATGGAAAGCTTGTGTCACTTTCTGGGATATAATGTGGGCATGCATACACTTTTGGCCCTACTGTCACATGAAATAAGCATGATCCCCAGAAAGCAGCGGAAAGCAGAATTAATAGATCAAGACGATCTTGAGTTCAGTGACATTCTAGAGGGAACAAAGTGGCAGTGACTTTTCTTCAGAAGTCCTGAAAGGCCGCTTTAGTGCTCGGACATCTCTGAAGTGGACTTTCAACAAGTGTCGGGAACTACAGCGAAGAGTTGCCATCAGCATTGAAGAAAGGTTTCTCTTTAAAAAGGAATCCGAGTCTTACAAGCAAAAACATAAAGGAAATAATCATTGTTCTAGTTCCACGTATAGCAATGGCTTACAGGTATGTTAGGGCACCCTCCTGAGAGTAACTCAGGTCTCAGCAAAGGACATCAAGATGACTATGTGTGTGCAACAGCTGAGGTATGAGCACAGCAGTAGGATGGTTTCTGTGCTCTTCTTTGGCTGCTGCTTGTGTTCTCTTTTCGTTACATCCAGGGTGCTCAAGAGTGAGATCTTGCATACAAAGCATAGGTAGCAGGAACACACCAATGCCTTTCTTTTCCCAGTAACAACTAACCCTTTTTTAGTCTAAACTGGAAAGTCACAGCTTGAGGACAGGATGATAGAAGTAGACAATACTACAATGAGAATGCTACAATGAAGGACACCTCTGCATCTCCTGACTTCAAAAAAGAACCCAGAATGAGTCACCGCATACAGTACTCAGCCAGTGTCCTCTGGTAAAGAGAAAGGAAACACATCACAGTGGTAGCTGGTCACCGAAGATTACAAATAACTGACAAGCAAGACAATTTTGCTCATTTTCAGGGTGTGTTTTGTTTTCTGTTGTTTGGGGGGGTTTGTTTTGTTTGGGGTTTAATGTTTCACAGAATCACAGAATGGTAGGGGTTGGAAGGGACCTCTGTGGGTCATCTAGTCCAACCCTCCTGCCAAAGCAGGGTCACCTACAGCAGGCTGCACAGGCCCTTGTCCAGGCGGGGCTTGAGTATCTCCAGAGCAGGCGAATACACTCCAGGGCTCCGTCACCCTCAAAATTAAGAACTGGAACTTCCTATGCTTCAGTTTGTGCCCGTTGCCCCTTGTCCTGTCACTGGGCACCACTTAAAAGAGTCTGGCCTCAACCTCAACACCCACCCTTAAGGTATTTATAGGCATTTATAAGGTCCCCTCTCAAGCCTTCTCTTCTTCAGGCTGAACAAGCCCAGCTCCCTCAGCCTTTCCTCACAGGAGAGATGCTCCAGTCGCCTCACCATCCTCATAGCCCTCTGCTGGACTCTCTCCAGTAGCTCCTCATCTTTCTTGAAGTGGGGAGCCCAGAACTGGACGTGGTACTCCAGATACAGCCTCAGAGTAGAGGGGGAAGAGAATCTCCCTCGACCTGCTGGCCACACTCTTCTTAATGCACCCCAGGATACCATTTGGCTTTGTTGGCAACCAGGGCACACTGCTGGCTCATGGTTAACTTGTCATCCTTTGGTTGGCTGTGGTTTTTTTACTTGCTTTGCTGAGGTGCACCAAGCTTCAGATTACCACCAGCAACAGAGAGGCAGGGCCCCACAGCTGAGCAAGCCTCTTCAGCCTAGGCTCCTAAGCTGTATCAGAATTCAACTGAATGAGAAGGATGCAGAGCACAATCCTCCCCTGTAAGATTACTTCAGGACAGCAGTGGGTTTTCACACCTGTCTTCTGTGCCAAAAGCTTTGAAGCCTCCATGACAACAAAAAGCTCTGAATGGTCAGCTTTGTTCTTTTTGGAGGAGTTCCATGGAGTAACTCATTTAGCTAGCAGTAATTCCTGAAGGTGCAGATATCTGTGCTTTGAATGATAAACAAATGGAACACTGAAAATTTATCATAAGGCTTCCTTCAGACAGCAGAGACAGTAGCCATGCCCATAAGAAAAAGGAAACCTTGCAATGAAATTCTGGAACCGTTTGGGAAAGTTGTGGTATTCCACCAGAAGTTGCATGGAAGAGAAGTCAAAGTATGAACCAAACAGCAGATACCAGACCAAGAGTCTTCTCCCATAGCATGAAAAGATACAACAAAGAAGTGTGTGAGGAAAAGTTTTTCTGTAGCCTCTACACGCTAAAGAGATAAAAGTAAATGGCAATTTTAATAAGGATTGCAGTGAAAAATGCTTGTGTTGCTGCAGTGCTAGGAGAATCACATACCCACAGGGATCAGCAAGCGGCAATTAAAAGAATGGCCTTGAAAATAAAAATGGGAAGCAAGAAAGGCATAGAATGACACCATGACTAATTAGCAATGGCATGGGAAGGAAGAATCCAGAACAGAGATATCTAGAAGACAGGTAATGAAGGGCATGGTGGAGACAAAATGAAAAATAAAGGAAGGATGAAGATGGACGATGGAACATGGAAGACAGTGGATGCAGGACCTATATGTCATGCTTGGTATTGGAAAAGGAGAAGGAAGACCTCAAGGACATGCACAGCAACCAGAAGAATGTTTGAGAGATGGAAGGGTAGGGAATTGAAAGAAGATTCTCAGAGGCAAGTGGGCAATAGATAAAGAACTGCAATGGAAAACGTCAGATTTCCATTTTGATCCCTGTTCAAAGCGTTTCTCCACTTTACATAAGAGAATGACAGGCTGACTTAATACTGGAGTCTGAATAACCAGTAGAGAGGTCATCCCCTTTAAATAAGTTTAATTGCTTTACTGCACTCAATATTCTTAATGAGCAGCATGCAAAATTCAATGACAATCCTCTGAAGCAGGACTTTATTCATTAGAACAAACTTAAGACAACATCCTTTTATTAGAACAATTTCTCTAACTTTATTTCTGTGACAGTTACAATGACTGAAATCATTTAAATAAAAAAAATCATATCAAAGCTAGGGTGAGAAGGGATTTTTTGTTTCTTAGAGTTCTATCAACTTTTTAAAATAGTAACATTTCATAAATATCTGGCTTCCCCTTCATATGATTTATTTTTAAAGTTGACAGATAAAATGACAGATAAAGAGATAAAGCAGTGTCAAAAAATTGAATGATGCAATCCAAACGTTAACATACCTTTTTGTTGTTCATGTTCATTGCTTTAGGGTAGCATTGTTGATGTTGCTACCATGCATATGAATTATTGTTAGAAACAAAACAAAGATCTCAAAAGTAGACATGCATGAGAGTAAAGGGTACAGCTAAAACTGTAACACATCAAGTTCCAAATGGATTGTAGAAACCTTAGATGCTATTCACCATGTATTTCTGTTTTTCAGAGACATGAATCCTGGAACTGTTAAGTTTTAGAGCAATAACTTACCTCTGCAAATAAAGGGGATATAACTGTAGACAGGCATTGGGATAGAGGCCTCTTTGGGATATCCTTTTCCTTTAAAGAAAACAAAATTCTGACCAATTCTATTTCTGAAAAAAGCATCCTCATTGTATTCTGTTTCTAATTGAAGAAAAAAAATAGTTCCAACGTGCTATGCTTTATGCAAAATCTGTTTCTACGTATATACAAATATGTAAAACATTCTACAACAGACTATTCCAAAGCACTGTGGAAAATGGAGGCTGAATTAAAATTCGAGGCTGTGGCACCTCAAATACATGCAAGCTCAGGGAAAAAAAAAAAAAAAAAACCCAAAAAAAAAAAAACCCCCCAAACCTTATTAACAATGAACAAAAACACAGCTGCAAGCTCAGGGAAAAAAAAAAAAAAAAACACCCACAATAAAAAAACCCCCGCAATCCTACTAAGCATGTACTAAATCACAGACATGCTGATATTTACTAGGTTCCTCCCATACAATACAGTATTTTTCTTGTATTTCTCCAGTTCTGATAAGAGCACACACAGACTTCTCAGAGCCAGGGTACAAGCCACTTGCCTCAGCAACACAGGCTGCAGAAAATACAAATGGAGCCGCTCCTCAGCTTCCCTTATTCTAGGGTTTTTGGTGGTTTTTTGGACACATGTTATTCTATTCTTTGCTACATTGTAGTCTTTTTTCCTAAAAGACCAGAATGCCTTCCCCAAAACCCCAGCCCTGCTTTGTACTGTACTGGTTTAAGTTTACTTTACAGAAGGAAGATTTTTAAAAATAAAATATTGCCTGCTCTTCCTCCAGTGGTAATAGTTCACAAACCACAAAAATATTTTGGTACATAGTTCACAAACCACAGAAAAAGGGCTCATTTACAGAATGCCCAAACTTCAAGACTTAGTCAAAACATTTTGTGAAAGGCAACTGTAGAATACACATTTTTAGCAAAAGTTCTGAAAGTTTTACAATTTAAATGCTTTTAAAGGCATAAAATAAAAATCACCCCACCGAATTATTAAAACAAGAAAATTATCTCCTTGTATAATACAGTCAATATTTTCAGCACCTTATTTCTTTGCAACTCCAAAGGCTGGGCTGCTCCATTCTCTAGATTCTTGGGGTCTTTTTCTCTTATTGTAAAGATCCACTCTCCTGAATCACTTCCACCTGAAGCCTGGCCATCTGGTTCACTTCAAGGGGGAGGAAAAAAAAAAAAAGTTTAATTACCTGCACCTTATTGTCCATATTCATTCAATATACGCACTAAACATAAAAGCTACAGTCAAGACCAAAATCAGGATTCTATTGTGCAAGCCAGTAAGTATGAAGACAAGTACTGGAAAGTAATGTAATTTTTTGGGGAAATTAAAAAAATGAAACCAAGATACTTCACTAAATGTTAAATTAACTTCAGAATGAGAGAGAGGCATTACAGATCGAAAACATTTTCCCAAATTACATAAACAAGTGAAATGAAGTGTTTTATTGCTATTTGAAAACTAGCTTTAGCAGGGTACCTCAAATCATCAGAAGGGGGAAAAAATTAGAAGACTTAACTCACTCCACCTAGAAAAACAGCTAAGACACTAGTTTAAAGTACCTTTGAGGAACACAGTTCCTCCCCAGCCCGTTAGCAAGGTAGATTTTCCACTCAAAGAAAATTGGCTGAAAAAGTACAGACACAGCATGGCTTTAACAAACTACATCACCATAAATCAATCTTTTGCCTCATTTTTTTGTGGATGGCATAGTCATTTTTTTTTCCTGTAACTCCTGCTAACTTAAAAGAACAAAAATATTTACACTGACACTAATCAGTCACTGCATTACATTTCTCCTCTCACTACCATAAATATCCTTCTCCAAGTTCATTTCTTTCTGATCTGTCAGTTAAGAGTGATCTGCAAGAAAACCACCAATTAAAAGTGCATCTAGCAGCCACTGTAGAAAACGTATTTAGTGTGGCCTACCAAGTCAAAAAAGCGATCAGTCTGAGAAAATCCTCCAAGATTTCTGCTTGAAGTCACATTAAATTCCTGGCTGTCACTGAAAGAGGCAGGGCTACCTTCCTTGTGTACCTTAGCTCTAGCAAGCTGACACAACAGAAAAACATTTATTGATTTGGAAAGTTAATATTCTGGCATCTCAAATAAACTCATCCTTTTATCACATCTAATACAAGGGCTGCTGTGGAAGCAGAAAAGGTGAAAGCAGGCTTAGACGTAACACTCAATAACTATTCTAGTTCCGCTACTCTCCTATGCCAAGCTATCAAAGCTGGTCTGATATTCCACAGGAAGAAAGAACTGTAACCTCAAAGTTCAGTTGGTAACTGATCGGAGACCAGTTTCAGGACTAGTAGTTTACCTTCCAAATCAGACCTGGTTTTGGGCTGGGACTGCGATCACTGGAAGGCATGAAACCATCAGTAACGTAGGACAAATATACAACTGAGATGTATACAGCCAAATGTAACAGCCAAAATACACAAATAACAGCCAAGAAATCATAAAGAGTCTGATGCCTACCATTAGCACTCAGATTGAAATTGCAGACAATAGTTGTGGTTTTTTTATTATGAGAAATTTAATCCATTTGTGAATAAATTGTGGCAATCCTTTCACTTGATTTTCAAAAGTGTGTAATCTGATGACATGCACTACTTTCAAAATTACTTTTGGACTAACAAAGTTAACTTTTTAACTGAGTCACAATTATTTGTAACTCGGTTTTCTAAGGAAACGGACTCATGAACCTACTGAACAGCTCCATCAAAATTTGACGGAGAGAAGTAAAAATTGCAAAGGAAAGAAATCTGATTTACAAAACTTCTTCTTTTTCAATAAATAATATGATATTTCATGATTATCACGCTGTAATGGCCCAACCTTCCTGGAAGGATAGGAGGAAAAAAAACCAAACAAACACCAAACCCACAAAACGAAAACACCTCATAAAAAAACCTAGGTAATATGGTTTGTACCCCAAAACCTCATTATCACAGAAGGATTGTCCACTAACCCTCTCTTATACACAAGAATATGCCTGTTTACTCAAGATCACCAATACGTGGGACAACCTGCCACCAAGGAGACAACTCCCCTCCTTAGGTGGCCAGGTGCACACAGAGGACAGTGCATGTGCACACTGCTACCTGGCCATGCATGGTGAGGCCCACCTTCTGCTCGCACGACCGAAGCAGCTGGTGTTATGCCTAGGAAGGACCCTAGACCCTACATAAAAGAGAAGGTAGTACAGAACGGGCCAGAAGAACAGTTCTCAGTGACTGTTCTTTGCATGAAATCCCTTGCAACACTGAAATCAAGGTATCATTAGTTTACCAAGGCTGCTAAGCTGAAAAGCTGTAAATAACAAAACATAAGGATATGTGTGTTAAAAATAACTACTTGGCTCCTATACTTACAAAGGATATTTTACAAGCTCAAACTTACGTATCTGAGTCATCAGAACTGGAGTCGTCATGACTTTGTTCAGACTTCCATCTCTTGTGCCTATCAATAAGGTCAGTCAGGTAGGAAGTTTTCTTTGAGTTTCGTAAAATAAATTTGTGTTTTAAGAGCTCTTTTGCAGTAGGTCTCTTCAAAAAAATAAAAGAAGATTTTTTAAACGCATTTGAGAGTGTTAAGTGACTCACTATAAAAAGATAAAGAAATCCAGAAATGAGATTTTAGATATATACAGTATTTAAAAAAAAAAAAAAAAAAAAGAGATGCTGGTGACTATGTTGCCCCATATTAGAAAAGCTGAACTGCACTTATTCATGTAAACTAGTCAATTATTCTCTACTATACGTTGACAAACAGATGAAACTCACAAAGCTTGGGTCCTTGTTTAAGCAGGCCTCCACAAATTCTTTGAGGGATTTACTGAAGTTTCCTTCCAGCGTCGGTGGATTGTTCTTAGGAATAAGGAACAAAACCTTCATTGGATGTAATTCTGCATGAGGTGGCTCTCCTTTTGCAAGTTCGATGGCTGTTATGCCTAATGACCAGATATCTGCCTGTAAGAAACAATGCTTTCAAGATTAGGTCGAAGAAAGAGAAGAAACAGTGTTGCTTGCAAAGGTAGATTTTAAACCTTTACTGTAAATAATTTCATATGTAAATTGGTTTTGTTATCACGGTTTGTGGTTAACCACACAAAATAAAGTATACAGAGTCCCTTGTTTTTTTTTACTCTACAGCATAAAGCAGTTGTACTTATTAGTGTTTTAAAACGTTTTGAAAACAATTCTATTACACTAGCAGTTATAACTGATCTTGAAACACAAATATTTTTAAGTAGTAATAGTAGAGTTGTTACAAACTAGCATTTGATCGACCATATTCAAGTACACTATCTAAATATGGGACAAGACTCGAATACTGGCATAAAGGAAAATATTATAACATACACAAGATTTTTCCTCAACAAGAATCAGCTAGTACAATCATCAGAAATTTAATACATTAGAACATAATTTTCCTTGGGTTTAACACTGTCTTATACATCATTCTTATTCACAGACTAGGGAAATGCAGTCTAGAACAGTATTACTTAACTTTTTCAACCCAAGGGTTCAACCAGTTAAGCATTTGGTCCAAGTAGCTTCTGAAATACTGACAGCACTTTTCTACCTGATATGCTTTGTAGACCTTCTCCTGTGAGCCATGTCTTGTAGGCCAAGAAGGCCTGGTCTCAATCAAACTTCTCTAAGTCATGCACATGAAAAATGCAGATCCAAAGGCTCACTGCCAAGTTAGAGGGACAGATCAATAATACAGCAGAGACCAGTGCTAGATCTGCTATCACTTAATTTAATTGATGAGTTGGATTCACATTGTTAATGGATGCCACAATATGCATATTGTTTTTTTTAGGGACGATTATTTACATATATTTGTTTCATAGGTGTTCATCATCAAAGTGTGCTACTCTTTCTAGGGAATGCTGTCTCACTAGATCCAAATCCTATTGCTAAATCTGTCTGAAGTAATGTGAGGTAATGCATCACAGTTCTCTGTGTTCTGCTGAAATAACAGACCTAAAAGTGAAAAGAATGGATGAATAAACCCCTCAAATTTGAAAGAAAAAAGCTTTCACAGAAACATTTGTTCCAAAGGACAATATATCAATTAAAAATATTTCTGTTTCGTTTTCTCTATTTCTTTTGAAGTGAAAACAGAACAAAGACTTATTCACAGGAAAACAGGAAAGATCTGAAGTGAGCTGTCTGATTTTAGCCCCAAACAGAGCATTTGGAACTTTGCTAAGCTGTAAACAGATCTATTTCCAGGTACTGGATAGAGTAGGGATTTCGTTTACCACTGCTGTCCTTACTAGGCGTCCCTCTAATCCATCTGTCTCTGCTCAGCTGATATGGTAGGTTACCTTTGGCTAACTCATACAGGACTACAGGCTGATAGCTGCAATGTATGCAGTCATTGCACTATCATAGCTACACTGCATGTCTAAAAACAAGCTCCTTCTTCCTTGCTCAGACAGTATTACATTGTTAAGAGCTTAGTTACTCAATTTTGCAAGTTAAGTATGGGAAAAAAAAATCTGAGCCAATTAGCATACCATTGAATTTATGAAATGATGTTTTGTTAACCCATGTTACAGAACTGCTATCTGACACTGAGCAGAGAGGATTACATAAGTATATGAGCTCTGAGTTTCATTTATCTTAACAGCATTATCAGCTAAGCTCTCCTCAAGTCTGAGTACAATTGTGAGTAACTTCCCTTTAGCAGGAAAGCTTTTCTTTGTTATGAGAGAAAAACGTCACCTGAGAAGATGAGTCTTCATTTTAACAACTGACCATTATTATTTCCAATTTATTCTGAATTTCAGTTTCTCAAGAGGAATGTGTTAAAGTCATATAAAAGGACAGATCTTGTTCTGACTGACTTTCAGTCACAGATGGAGCATGTGTATATATAAGTATAAAAATCTAATTTATATGTGTACGTGTGCACAGATATGCACATGCGCGCACACATATATATAAATACTTCCTTTTTTTCCTCATATATTTATACCTTTCTACTGCTAGTGACTTTCTTCCACAAAAATTACTAAATAGTCCAACAAACCACACTGAATTCTTTGAAGTCCAAGATGGGTTTTGGAAGCCCATTCCTGTTGGAAGCATCAAGAATAAAACTCCCAAATTCCTCTGGAATTATAACCTCTCCTTTCACAGATAAGGAAGGATCTCAAAACAGGGATGCAAGTACCGACTGCATCTGTATCTGACTAGGCATTTCTAGGACGCACTTGCCTGTGACAATGAAGCTGCAGAACAGGCGCAAATCAGTCCTCCAAACAGGGAGGGAGAAGCATGACCTTAAGAAGCGATGACACTATATCATCACTAAGTTTTACCCACGTTATGATTTTTACAGTTTTCAAATCTTGAACAAAAATTATTCTTCCAAGTTCAGATGAGAGTTAGCAAATCACTAGCAACTACTATTTATTGCAGTACTGCCACAAGCCTTCTCCCATTCAAATGAGTAAAATTTAGTCTGACTTTGAAGCTTTTGTAAGTCAAAGAAAACAGGCTACGTGCAAGAGAAAAAAAATTAAATTACATATTTTTCTATTAGAAGTTATATAGTAGAAAAGACAGAGAACTAGATACGGAAAAACTGAAGCAGATGAGAAAAGATGCTGACTTTCAGATGAAGAAAGGAATCAAAATAGGAGGAAGAAGTAAGAACTATTGCCAAAATAACAGAAATTAGAAAGAAAGGAAAGATGCTACGAGGACATCATATCAAAGAACAAATAGCTTGGAGAGAAGGAAATCAATGGTATGGGAAAAAATAAAACAGGAGAAGAAGTTTAAAAACAGGTGGCAGCTTTAATACAACGATTATAGTCAAGGTTCGACATTTCGCTATTTTTCCCCATGGCTGATAAAATCTAGCTGCCAAAGTAACTATCACCCCTTTGGATTACTTGGACTTTAAAAATAAACTACAAGGGAAAATGAAAAATAAAGTTGAAAATTTTGCTATCAAGTACGCCTCTCAGATTAGCTACTGACCACATAAAAATGCAAATATTATAGCTAACTTACTCTCTTCACACGAGCCATCTGGCAATCTTGTGTTCTCAAATATACCAGTCTCAATTATTATTTACAGAAGTCTTGACAGAAGCTGTTGAAATTTTATTATCCATATCAAAAATCACATACCTTGATTATTTTTTAGGCAATAAAGACAAGTGTTGGAATACCTTGTAAATATACCTTACAATATATGGTCCGAGAAAGAATAATGGGAACATCTTAAGGACACAAAACAGTTTGGGAATGGGACTGCATAAATTAAGAATGGAATGGGCAAATTCTGTATGGTAGTTAAGGAATACACAGCTCACACATGCATAAAGCAGTCCAAAAAGCCTCACATAATCTTGAGAGCACAGTACTGGGAACATAAATTAGGGCTTGATTTGACATTGTTAAGTTTCACATATTTTAAAAGAAAAATACACAAAATGTATGTATTTGTCAAATCCTGAATTAAAACAGCATTTTTTCAAAAATGCAGACATTTTTTATCTACAAAAAAAACCTGCTTCTCTACCTTATATACATACATTTCCATAACATACATTTGGGAAAACAGTAAGACTATACTCAAAACCACCAGCTTATGTTAAGTATTCATTATTTTACACAACCTTAAGAGACTTTAAGGTGAATGTTAAAATATTATAAAGTCATGGAAAGACAATAAAGATACACTGTTTTAACCAAAAGCATTTTAAGGAAATTCCTTAAAAGGTTGTGTCTTCAGTTCCAAAAGCTGTGTTTGACAGGATGGTTAACTCAGCAGCATATCTGAATTCAGAGGAGGTATAACTGTATCTTAATATCTGAAACTGCTTAAAGTGGAAATGTATATACTGGAATAATAGTTCTTACATGGGTTATGTTGATAATATAGTGTAAGCCATGGTCAGGAAATCCACCAACTGCCCATAACATTAAGACAAGTGATAGTAACACTGAATCAAGAGGAGACCTTAAGCTTTATAGCAGTAACTAGCAATGTTAGACCTCAGGATGCATCTGCCTGCCTTCAGCCTAGTTAGCAGTTTCATGTCATAACTTAGGTTTTCCTTTGCCTTGCACAGTTGTGCTATTTCATCAGTCAGCATGAGCAAAGATATCAATCCAATCAGAAGAACAGCAATAAAAAATTTAACAGTGTGAGCCATACAGTAAATGAGGAAAGAAGCAGATGAACTGCATGAAGTAAGGAGGTGAACTGCACCCAAGGTAGTGTTACAGAGCACTTTCAAGCTTTTATCGGGAACCCACCAGCATGTGGAAAGTCAGAGGATTCAACAGGGCAAAGAACAAAACTGGGCAACACAGCCAACTACATGCTTGCACCTCACTGGGACTATGCTATGAAGAGGACAGTCCCACTTAACACCTCTCAAGCATGGACAACTTATGGAAGGAAAATGAGGTTAGAGTTGGATGTCTGTGTTCTCACATAGGCATAAGTATCTTAAAATAAACAGACCTTCTCAAGTGGTTGTTGTGTAACAACAGCAAAAACATTGTCTGTACAATTCAGTCTGGTCTCTAAGTGCCACAAGGCTCACAGACACAAGTAAGTATCTCTAGTGCATTCAAAACTTGAGCTCTGGCCTTCTAGGAAACTGATCAAGTATCCAAGACCTTTTTATGTCCACATGACCTTGTAGACAAACAGCTGGAAATCACAATCTGAGGACTGAATCATGCTTTGTCCAAGTGAAAATCATTCCCAGAAGCCAAACCTCAAAAACATCCAACCACTAACACCCCAAAACCAAACAACAAAAACCACCATCCACCAAAAAAAAAACAAAAAAAAAAAAACGGTCTGCTCAACCTTCCAACTGGGAATTCGGGGTCATTTAAGGTTCTAGAGACTCTACAGAGCTCTGCTACTTATTTTTAAACAGCCCCTCTACAGAAAGATCTCAAATAGGGAAGGAAGTAATACTACAGTCAGTCTAGGATAGAGTCAGTATTGGCAAGTTCCTTACACAGATGAGGGTGGAAAGAAACACGCCAACCTGTCTCACTGCATGGAGATGTGACCAAGCAACAGATCCCTATAAGGGGGTCAGAGGAGATGGGCAAGAAAGATGAGCTCAGGGAAGAACGTAAGGAATGACTGCTAATTATCAGAAAGAAAGCTAATCTGATCTTAACACAAGCCGGACTTGAGGGTGACCTTTGTTTCAGATATACAGCTGCACCAGTTGGTCATCGGGTTGTGCAAATACCCTTCCCCCGTATAACCTGTAGATCAATGTCTTACTGAGCCAGCCAGACCAGCATGGGAGAGGGAGAAGTGAGGGGCAGCATGGAGGTGTGTATGTAGCTCAGCCTAATAGAAGTATAAAAGAGTGATCAACAAAATGAATCTTGAAAAGAGTAACGGGCTTGAGCTGGCTTCAATGCATATATTCCTTCCTGGCAATGTGGGACACCCAGTGCCATGCTGGTGAACATCTGGAGACCAGTAACCGGAATCACATTTCTGTTGTGATCCAACTGTATATTACAATTGATACATTGTGCTTGTGTTGTGATTTCACTAAATCAAAATCCCATATAATGTAAATATCTACAAATAAGTAAATTTTATATTAAACATTAAACCTTCCCTGTACAGTATAGCTAAAAGAACATGGTCAGAGCAGCACAGACTTATGCAGCGCACACTTCCACAGATACATAAAAGCACTTTCAGTCAACACTTTTCACACTCACCAAATCCATATTCTTCAACAGTGTCGCTATTTTTTTCTAAAATCAAGTGGAAGCATACGTTTTGTATATATTTGCTCTCTTCTACTTTAAACAGCCATCAAAAATACTCCTCAACAGAGCAGGATAAAAGGTGACCTGATGTACCTGTCAATATTGTAATATTTCTTGCCATCTGGATGGGCTTAACACAGCAGGAAAAGTTTGGATACAAATTAGGAAAGGTTCTTTCCTTCCCAACAGCTTTTAGCTGCTAACGTACACCCATCTAGACACAAAGTTATTAGCTACATTCTGAAGACCAACCCACATAATTCAAGTTTAAAAAGGAAGGAAATTTGGCTAATGCCTTGAAATACCTTACCTTTGAATCATACGCCGACTGCTTTATTACTTCAGGTGCCATCCAAAACGGTGTTCCCACAAAGGTATTCCTCTTTATCTGTGTATCTGTTAGTTGTCCCGCTACTCCAAAATCTGCTAGTTTTACTTCTCCTTGTTCAGATAGCAATACATTAGCAGCTGGAATAAAGACGAGGAAACAGAGGAAATTAAGATATTTGACACTGGAATGGTGTTCATTTATATTGCAAGAGCTCTTCTAATATTATTACCATACAAATAAAAACCAATTTACCTTTAATATCTCTGTGGATTTTCTTTTCTGAATGCAAGTAATCGAGTCCTTTGAGTATCTCCCTCAATATTGTAGCAATCTGGGTTTCATCAAGTGAGCCAGGTTCCAACTAGGAAACACAAGAAATATTTTTATACATACATGTATGCGTATGCATATATATATAGAGAGAAATATATATATAAAGGAGAAACAGAAAGAACAGAAATAACACTGTGACTATCAAAAGACTATAAAACTGTTGGAGCAGGTCCAGAGGAGGTCACAAAAATGATCCGAGGGCTGGAGCACCTCTCCTGTGACAAAAGGCTGAGAGAGTTGGGGCTGTTCAGCCTGCAGAAGAGAAGGCTGCAGGAAGACCTTACAGTGGCCTTTCAGTACCTGAAGGGGGCCTATAGGAAAGATGGGGAAAATATTTTTAGCAGGGCCTGCTGCGATAGGACAAGGAGTAATGGCTTTAAACTAAGGCAGGGTAGGTTTAGACTGGATATAAGGAAGAAATTTTTTACAATGAGGGTGGTGAGACACTGGCACAAGTTGCCCAGAGAGGCAGTGGAGGCCCCATCCCTGGAAGCACTCAGGGTCAGGTTGGACGGGGCTCTGAGCAACCTGGTCTAGTTGAAGATGTCCCTGCTCACTGCAGGGGGCTGGGCTAGATGACCTCTAAAGGTCCCTTCCAACCCAAAGCATTCTATGATTCTATGAAAACTCCTCCTGTCACACCCCAGAATTTCCAATTTGCTAACTTTATGAGATACAACCCAGAGTATTCTTTAAAAAAATACATAAATACATAGTTCTAAACTAAGTGGGCCTTATGAACAACAGGCAAAGAATTACTTCATCTATGTAAAACAATTTTTGAAGTTTGTTAAAGGCTCCATAATGACACAGTTTCAAGTTATTGTTTTGTGGTCAGGTCATAGATACATACACTGCGTTTGAAAAGCATCTACACTGTAATCTGATTATTAACACTACACTGAACTTAGACGTGCAACTCTAAAGGCCCTATGTGGACCCAAATCTCAAAGTCTGAGAAAGAAGCTAAGGCATGTAAGGTACCACATCAATCATGTACCCTATTACCATATACTTCAAGGAATTTTGTCATGCTCTCTAAAACACAACTCAAACTGCTAGGCTGACAGAGCATTGCACACTAAAAAAAAGTTAAATTTTTCATACAAAACTGAAGGTATAAATCTGCAAATTGTTACAATTAAAGGTTCCAAGCAATTTAATTCTTACGAGAAGAAAAAGCAGTGGTAGAAGATCTAAGAGTTCTCTACAACTGATACAAATTCTGAAAATGAGTATGCCACTAACTCTAAAGGGACAGAGGAAAGGTCACTAGCCAGAGAGGCTTCTTAACCAATAAGGGCATTGAGAGAGAGACTGAAATTTTGTGGACAAGAATTAGTATTTGAAATATTCCAGTATTCTAGTTTATTCCACAATAGCAGTCAGTGAAACACAATCAAAGAGTTATCTAAAGCTTCACTCTGTTGGAAAAGCATTTCAAATAAAAATTTTCAGATAAAAATTAAAATATTACATCCCTCAAAATCCTCAGCTAATAGGCAGGAACAGAAGATTTCATATAATGCAGACATGTTTGTTTTACCTTTGTAGCTTTACTTACAATCTTTTTTTGCTTTTCTTTGATAATATACATGACATTGCCACTCCCTGAAACCCACTAAGACATTCTCAAGGCTGCAAGTGCCAGTTCAAGACTTGGCAACATGATACAGCACATCTAATGGGGAAAACCTCTTTTGACAGATGTTAGCTCACCTTAGTGAAGAGGAAGTTAGCAAAAAGACATTAACGCTGAGAATATGAGTGCTTGAACCTCAGCCATAAACCTGAATTATACTCAAAGCTGAAAAACAATGTACATGTCATTGCATTAAATGTACTTTCTCTTGTGAGGCATGATTTTCAAAAAAACTAGTGCATGTTCAAGTACAGAAATACCAGGCTAACATGACATGTATACACCTCAGACATGGAATTCAAGGTTCCTAGTCAGTCTTGCCTCGAGTACATAAACATGATAAAGTGTGCCAGTTCTCCTACCACATTCCAGTTGAGAACCATAATGTGCATGTTAGAACTAGGAAAACATGTAGCAGAACATAAACTGAAAATGAATGAAGCACACACAAGATGCTTAACATAGACTGACATGACGACTTTAGTTCTGCGGCGCAATTTCTTCAACATTTTAGGATATGATCAAAGACTCTGCGCTATTTCTAGGCGACAAACATAGGGAATAAACGTGGTCATCACGCAAGTGAAATGTGTGTGATTTAAAAAGAAAAAGACAAGAAAATATGGTAACACTTGTTTCCTTTCTGCTCTTTTATACCTTTTTGAAGCACAAAGAAATTAGAAATTAATTTATAAAAGCCAACCCAGTTTCTAATTGCTCCTCCATCAGGAAAAACCTATCGCAACAATAAATAAACTTTTTTTCAGCATATCTTTATGGGGAACATTATCAATTTCTACACAACCACAGAACTCCTAACATGATGTGGAAACTAAAGGTATAAATGGGTTCCAAAAGGTAATTACAATTAAAATGTGACAGCACAGGAAGTCCACATTTACTACCCCCTCCTGTCTTCTGGATGCCACCAGCAGAATCACTCTACAATGGCCTTTTTCTTTTTGCTCCTTCCTGAATAATTCATTAGTTGCCCTAGATGAGAATAGCAAACTACACTACAGAGACATTACATCTCAATTGGCATCACAATTTTCAGATACTTAAACCATTCATTTTTATTTCTATAATAATATTTTTAAAATCCACAATAAAGGGGGGAGTTGGGGGTGTTTGTTTTAATACCTAAAGTGAATGGACAGCATCCAGTCATTGAAAACATAATCTGCACTAAAAAATTTGAATTATGATTCAAAACTGGCTACTCTGTCCCAGGTGCAGAATGCAGCACTTGCTCTTGTTAAATTTCACATGGCTGATGATGTCCCAGCTCTCTAGCCTATTCAGATCTCTCTGCAAGGCCTCTCTACCCTCGAGGGAGTCCACAGATCCTCCTATTTCTTTGAAATATGTTTTTTAATATCAGTCTAAATTCTGTTTCTGCCTATTTAGACTTCAGTGAGACTTCAAACAGGGAAACTTTTGTTTGTTTGTGGGCAGTGGGGGGAAGATACATTAAAATGTATACACTAGGAGGAGTTGTGGTGGCAGAGTGAAGAGACAGAAAAAACTGTTTTCAGCCACTAGTGCTCTTTGGCTGACTGAAGATTAGCATTCCAAGTTTATATCCTGCTTCCAATATTATGTTGCTTAGTTCCCTTCCATCTATACAAATAATCACTCCTGCCTCATGGAAAATAACATTTTCCTGGCATTGACAAATACTTTTTTTCTTTACTGGAAGCAAACATTGTCATAGCCAAATGACATATTACAGTTTCCAGAATTATTAGATGGGAAAATAATTATGTGAGGTATAATAACAAAAATCATACATAATTTACTTACTAGATCAAGGGCAGAGCCTCCACCCAGATATTCCATTATTATCCATAATTTTGTATCCTGCAAAACAAAAACAACAACAAGAATTTATTAAGTTTAAAAAAACATATCAGTTAAGTTAATGGGACTTGTTCCATTCTTTTTGCGGAAGAAACAATCTACATTCTTGAAACACCACTAATGTTTAGCTATTCCTTCAAAATATCTTTGGATTATTCTTTAAGACGTATTATTTTCAGTCCCATCTGATAAGGAATTCATTTAGTGTGTCACAAGCTATTTACACAATTGTGTATGCTCAAGAAAGTTTAACTCTGTTCCTCTAAATTAACATGGGCAAAGCTACTTCAAATTTACCAGTGGCTAAGAGGACAGACATTAGAAGTTCATTACATGCAAATAATGGATGCATACTCTTAACGTCACACCCAAGCTCATTTCACAGTACCTCTTTTTTGTACTGATACCAGTGCTACTAGAATACAGACAGTATCCAGGGAAGAATAATCTTCTCTTTAGTCCCTACCATAGAGTCAAGTAGCAGAAGGAAGCCTCTTGCCTCTATGGTGACTAGAACTGGACAAGTATTCTGAGCCCAAGTTCACCATCACATTAACTCCCAAAAGCCAGCTATCTACTTGTTCTTATCACACTCCTTAGTATATTTTTAAAAAGTGTCTTCCGAGACAAGAAAGAGACAGACAGGCCACACAATGAAAATGGAGGAGAATAAACTTACATTTCACAACTCCAATTATAGACATTCAGAATATCAAGTAATAAGTTACATCAATAAAATGAAGACATTTTTTCTAAGGAAGCGGAATATATTTTATGTAATTATCTTTATTTGTACAGATACTCCAAAATATTTTCTCTAATAAGCCTGACTCCTGTCTAGGTTGAATTTAATTTAAAATTCATTCTTTGCATCTCTGCGTTCTTTCATCTTCTCGAACAGTCATCTGCCTTTGGCCTAGGGAAGAATACCAGTAAATTTTCTCCACTAATGCTTATGCATCCAACATATTGTATACCAGCTTTAGCTAGTAAAATAAAAGCTAACAACAGCAACAATCAAGCTACTATATTCTCAAGGGAAAGTTCGATACACATTGAAGGAATGTTTAACACAAAATATAAAATACACTATGCTAAGAAAGAGACTGGACCCAAATATTTCTCTTCACAGCTTGCCGCATCTTATTACCAAATACACTAAGAGAAGGAGTTAGTCCACCTTTTCCCTGCAGCACCAGCCTTGAAACACATTTTGAAGCAAGGCCATAAATCTACCAGATAGATATTAAAATTAAATTGCTGCATGGAACATATGGTGGGGTTTGTTTATTATGGTTTGTTAGTTTTAACTCTATGTACCAAACATTCACAAGACTTCTAGAACAAAAATGTAGGGGTCTCTCAGAGCAAGAAGCACATAAATAGCAACAAAATTCATTTACCTTGACCTGCAAAATAAAACAATGTAAAAATAAGAGCTCAGAGCCAGGGCAGGTAAGACTCTGAATACACATCTATATAATCTATATATAGATATAATCTATTGTAGTATCTACATACAGCATTTTGATAACGCTTACTTTCTGCAAACACCACAGATATTCTAAGAATTGTTGCTCATGCTGAGAGAATCCCTTATAGTACTGAAATACGTATTTTGCTGCTAAGAGTTTCTCAGATTTTGCCTGTCCCTTCAAGGTGCCAGGTCCTAACAGTTCCAGAACAAGCACGCTTCTGAGACCTGTCATACAGTAAGTCATTTCATCCTCAAAATCTTCCTAAACTCGATCAAAATTTTACATACATGTTTTGCTTCAGCCTGATACATGTCTTTTAAAGTTGCATGAAATTCCCTAAATACCCAACTTTTGTGTGCCTGCAAAATTTACATCTAATTTTAATAGTAATTTAAACACAAACATGTCAACTGTATCACACCTTATTATTTCAATGGAAATGGCTGGGTGGGAAAGAACAAGGTAGGGCAAATGAACCCCTTGATCCTCCCAAAAATAAAAAAGAAAAACAAACAAATGAATAAACAAACAAAAAACACCAAGTCAGTAAAAGATGCATCTTCCCTTTTCTACTAATCTTGATTCTACTAATCTTTCTCTAATCTTGATTACCTTGTGGATTTAAAGAGGTAACAACTTGAAATAAGATACGCTTTCCCAAAAGATAAATTCTCCATAAAACTAGCTACCAAATTTCCAGCTGAAAATTAGAAATTAGAGATAGCAGAAAATACCTAAAAAAATCCCTTTAAGAATATAATTTTAATTACATAATTACACAATCATATAACACAGTTATACAACTACAAACTACAAAATTCATAGTCTTTAAATCATGATTTATCCTTTTCAACTCTTTTCCTGTTTTGCTCAGTCTTTGCTCCTGAAACATTCATCATCAGCTGCTTGGGGCCACATGTCTGAATTTACAATATAAAAGCCAGTGATCCAGTAAACTCAGTAATACTACATTTTAAAACAAGTGAAGTATGTAAGTGCGGTTCGGGAACACACACATAATTGTATCTGTATCCCAGTGTGAAACTAAGCAATAGCAGTCTATTACAATTACAGCATCTTTGTATCAGTAGCCCTAGATTTGAAGTGGTTTTTAATTCCTGTGGTTCCCCCTTCCCCTTCCCACAGAAATATTACTCAACTTCATGGATGCTTTGGGGTTTTTTTTTAAGTTTTCATCATTCATATGAAGTATCTGAACAGATGTAACTACTATTCTAGTGAATCTTATTATCACCTTTAACTAACTCTTGCTGGAAATTTTTTTCAGCTTTCTTATTTAAAGTCTGCATACATTACTTAATAAGAAAATGCAAAGAAATGATTTTGGTGAGATAGTTTTAATGAATTGCTTAATACATATTCTACCTTAGAGCCAGTAACTTCATGCCTTATAACAACAGCACAAGGCAAGTAGAGCACTACTATCAACTGACTTTGGCATCACCAGAGCAGCATGTCTCCCTCTTTGCTTCCTTTACGAGTATCTCTGGCATGCTTCACATTTCCTGACACCTACTGTTGCTTTCCTTTTTAAAGTTGCCCAAAACCTTTTTTGTACTTCTCACATTCTTCTGTATACATTCCCCACTTTTCCTCTCAAACATAATACCAAAACCACTAAATTTTCTTCCATAGCCTAGATTACTAATTACATATTACACATAATCACTTACATTTTCAAGACGATACTATGCTTCTATACTCAGACTAGCAACATTCAGTGCTCCGTTTTAAGATCTGAAATAAGATCAGTTTTCTTCTTTTAAGCATCAGTCACAACATCGCATTGAATTTTCTTCCAAATACAGTGAAGCCATGATGAGTCATCAATCCAAATTTAGGATTATTATTTCTCTATAAACATAGATGAGCACATTAATGAGGGCACATAGAACATTTCCTGTTTCACAGCAGCAATAAGAGGTTTTCCTCTGATGCCATGAAACTGAGGAAGAGAACAGCCTTGGAATCTAAAAGAAGCTCTGTTAACAGAAAAGCAGAGTTTCTGTAAACCTTGTCCAAACTACTTTGCTCTTCTTGAGGTCTGACTTCTGATTTTAACTGTGGAACCACACAAAAACATTATAACAGCAGCTTTACCTCTAATGAAGTATTATCCATTAGGTCACTGTTCTACCATGAAAGTATTTGTAAAATAAGTGCAGTTACAGCAGATAAAGAACTTCTCCTAATTTCTAAAAATCAAGGACTATACACCAAAAAAAAAGGCCATCCACCAAAAAACTGCTCTAGAGTCTCAGATGTACATTTTTAACTGAAATCAGAGGAGTATAGAAGACAGACAGAAATAAGTAATCAAGAATAAAATGTTTGTTTATAAGTCCTTACGGAGTTAATAAAACATCTGAATAAACATGGAGAGGCTCAGCTTCAGAGATGCTTTGTGGTTTGGTTTTGGGTGGGGTTTTTTGTGGTTTTTTTTTTTTTTTAAACATGAAGAACATAACGTTTCTTAGCACTGTGGTATGATAAGGGAGAGATTGACCTAGAGCAATCAAGCCACAGTATGTACTGATGAAAATGTCTCTAAAGCACTTTTCTTGAGGGAAGGAGAGGTTGCAGAGGAAAACATAATATCGAGCCACAAAGGGACTAGACTAGAAGCACTTGGAAGTAAGAGCACCAAATGACCTGTACAGTAATTTAGAATGTAACTAAAAGTTTTAAATCAAGGAAGTCAACTAATGCAATTTGAAAACTGTAGTACAATAGTGAGCACGTGTTTGTTTCTAAGTGACATAAAATACCCCCATCTATTGTGAGAAAAAGAATTTCCCACCTTAAATTTAGAGCAAGAGAGGGTACTGCCTACCTTAAATTTATGGTACACAATTAGCAGCAGGATAGAGTCTATTTACAAATATGTATGAAAGGTTTGTTTAGTTCTGGAGACAAGCCATCTCCAAATTCCACTCAGAATCTGTATTTTCAAGCACTTAATCACAAGCTAGAAATTACATACTTGACTGAAATAACACAACAGATTTGCTAGCCAAAATAACAACTAGCTTAAGTTGATCTATATACTAAAGGTTTTACCATCACTGGATTAGTAGAAAAACCTACAGTACTGAAAAACAGAAATAGAATATCTTGGACAGAACGTCAACTAATCTGAAAAGAACCAACTAGTTCCAAAACTGATATGCGTTGCACAATGTGATGTGTGATATTTTGTTCAATAAAAATTTCAGTTTAACTGGTATATAAGCCAAAGTAATATGGGCCAGAAAGAGAAACTTATATTTCAATACTGGTATAAATTTAATATTAATGTGCGTACTGCTTCTCCAGCATGAGAAACCAGACTAAAAGAACCTTGAGATACACAATGCATGCAACAGGATAACCTCTCTAAGTTGCATCCCTGCTGCAGGTTGTTACTACTCCTCATGGAGATTTGTCCTCTGTTAACTTCATATATAAAAACACCCAGGGAAGTTTCACTGCTGTAGCAACCAGAAGCTTCTCAAACACTTG